TGCAGATGTCCTACAGAGGTTCTGTTCACAGTCACAGAGGTCGTAATTCATTTTCCTTAACTTAAATGTAAAATTTCATGGTGTTTCTTAAAAATGCTATGTTACTTAAAAAGAATCAATGCTATGTTACTTAAAAGGACTCGATTCTTATAATTGATCATTTTGATCAGCAAATAATTAAAAGACTGTTTATAAAAAAACCTAAGAACTCAATATCTATTGTAATTTTAACTACTGCTTTAAGCAGTGACAAAACGCTCGTCTAGGTGCACATTGTATATCTATTTTGCGCCAATCAACTAACACCACATGTTTTCTCTCATCATCAGCTTACACTCATACACTGCTGGACATAAGCCCCCTTAACACGCCAACTCAACAACTGCCGCCGGCCACTCATTGGGGTTATCGAGCACATTTTTTTTCACCTCACTAGCTCGGAAAGGGTTTCTTTCTCCTTTGAAATCAGCGCGCAAAAGCGTTACGCGTAAATGCTAGCGTGGAAAAGGTTTTTTGAAATTTGAACTTGACGATGGACTGAAAAAAATAATGACACGTTCAAACAAGCGACTTGTACATTACTTATTTATGTAATATAAATCCGTTGGTATATTTCAGTCTTATTATTGTTGACATTAAATTGATAATGATAACTAATCGTGTTTATTACATTATTTTAATGTCGGTGACGAACTAAAATAATTTCAATAATCAATCACACGAAATAAAAGTACAAGCAATAATAAAAAATGATGAGGTGTAAATTCAGAACGCATCCGAAGATAAACATTTTCATAAAATATAAAAAAAAACTGATGTTTTATAGTTCAATTGCTTTTCTTTCATCTACCATTTTCGTCGCTATAGTGAGGTGAAAAGTTGTATTTTTCGCCCAGCAGCAAAGTTGTTTTGCGTTTCGTGCCTTGAAACCCTCGCTACGCTCAGGAATCTATTTTTGAATTTTTCAACCTTGGCTCCCTTCGCTTGCTCTGGTTTCAATACAAGCACTCGCGTCAAAAAACAAAAGCAGCCTTGCATAACAAATAACTATTTTTTCATACAGACTAATAAAGGTCAAAAAGACCGCTCACTTTCAGATTATTATTTTTAAACTGTAAGCGCCCAGTTACACGACGCGAAAATTTTCGCGCGGCTGCCACGCCTTGACGTATATTACTGGCGAATTTGAATTCTATTTACGAGGTAACAACATTTAAATTCCTCTGAACAATACAACCATGCGTCTGCCGCGTAGACCGAAGATAAGCCCGATTCGCCCGCGCCCCGAGACGCTCATTTAAGTTAAAATGTAAAAGCTAAATAAATAGGGCGTATTTTACTATGACAGTTAGATGCACGCGGTATACTATTTCTGAACGTAAAATTTTATTTTCTACTCGTCAATAAAACCGTCTTTACAATATTGTAAGAAACATTTAAAAAATATTCGCGTAACTCAAAACGAGTCAAACTTTCTGTAAGTTAGCTCTGGACAAAACAGTCCTTACTCAAAAATATAAAATAATTTTTTCGTTTTTATTTTCAAATATATTTGGCAAATAGGAAATTCATTAGATGTCTATAAAAGTTTAACCTATATATAAATTTAAAAATTTTTCACATGATGAGTGGGTGATTCGTTTTTATAGATTCTGAAAAAAATCACTGAGTTAATACACTAACTATTATATTAACAATGCGATATGTGTACCTAGATGGTTGGTGCAAAGTAGAATTTGCTCCTTGACATATAAATTGTTACTGCTCTAAATTATAAAAGTTTTGAATTCGCAACAGTATGAAATGGGAGAACAACGCAATAATCAACTTAGGCAAAGCTCGAATAGCTCCCAATGTTTCACCTTTAAAATTATAGTACTGTAGTATATTACTATTTACAAAATATTCTACATTTACAAAATGAAAGTTAAAAAGGTAAATAAATAAATAAATAATTGATATGACATAAAACTATACAGACAGAAAGGTAAGGTAAAGATACTTTTCCATTGTACATCACACCATGTACTGTATTTAACATGTTGCTTTTAAACAATGCAAATTTTAAACTTATATCAACGACTTAGATGTATGATTTGAACTAGTGATGGGCCGAATCGAGATTTCCACGAATACGAGTAGTCGGCCGAATATTCGTTAAAAGATTACCGAACCGGTATATATTCGGCCGAATAATTCGGTAGGGATTGCCGCGCTTTCTCCTGATTTATAAATTAAAAAGTGGGTGCATGTTGAGCGCGCGACACTTCTGCCCGCTTACCCCACCGCCGCATCCCCGCGGCTTTTTTTTGCATCTAGACATGAGAAAAAGCGTTACATTTCTATCACCGTGATAAATCTAGTCTTCATTTAATGCGTTGAATATTTCTAACTTTTAAATCGTGTCACCAACTGCGCAATTCTTTTTATGTTAAATAACTATACATACTGTTACTTAATTTGTGATTAAAATATATGTATTTTAAGGACTTGAGTCTCATTAAAATAAATAAACGAATTAAGGTTATATCTATCACTTTTATTCAATCTCTCACTTTGTCTTGACAGACGTGCAAAGAGGAATCTATAAAAAATTATGTTCATACCTATCTATGTATGTATTATTAGTTAATGTCGTAATAATAACTAATAAGTATGTAATGTACCTAAGCGATTTAATTTTCTGCAAAAGTATCTTCGGTAGAAAGTTCGGCATTTTTACCGAATAATCGGCCGAATACGAATGTTCGGCTATTGCGCCAAACATACCGAATACCGAATATAAAACGAATATTCCGCCCACCTCTAATTTGAACACATGTTTTTATCTATTGAGTCGACACAAATTTTTGTACTATAGACTTGTTGTTTAATCATTATCAACATTTACCCGCTCACGTCTCACTGCAGTGCGGGTTGGGGACTTACTTTTTGTTTGATATGTATAACCATAGCATAATGAACTTCATGTCAGTTGTGTAACGCAGAAACTAGATACGGCCCTAGAAATAGGTCTGGGAATTCCTAATTACACAAACGACATAAATTTCATTATGCTATGTAAAATTTCGTAACAAACATTCGCTTCCATTCCGATCCTCGGCAATGTAAAGTAAGGGTCAGAGCTCAATATACAATAGGGCAATAAACAGTGTGTTTTTTTTTAACTGGGACAGTATGACAAAATCTCCAACTATGGGATACAAAAAAACTGTCTTAGAAACAATTAAGTCTTTTTTTGTGATAACAATTTTGGCACAGTCAATTTTTTGGTCAAGTCTGAGTTGTCTATAAAAATGTAAAAAATCCTTATTTTTTTAGTGCTGATCGACTCAGTTTCACTTAAGGATAATTTTATTGTATTGGAAGAAAAAAATCGGGCCAAAAGTTCTTTTCATACAAAACGAATAACATTTCACTAAATTTGACCAACTTCGGCTGTGCCGACTTTTTTCTTCCGATACAATGAAATCATCCTTATAAGAAACCGAGTCTTTAAGCATAAAAAAAAATTATCAATTTTATTAATTTTGTATTTAAAAAACATTTTATGACATGTGACCAACTTCTGCTGTACCGTTTATTTTCGTTCCATACAATAAAATGATCCTTACATGAAACTGAGTCGATCAGCACTAAAAATATTAATCAATTTTATTCATTTTTATGGACAATTCACGCTTGTCCAAAAAATGTACTATGCCAAAATTATTTTCACACAATACCTAATGGTTCCTAAGACACTTTTCTTGTATCTTCAATGGTTTGGGATTTCTCCATACTGTCCCAGTTAAAAAAACGCTGTATAATGTATATTGGGCAATATATTTGTACGTATTTCACCATATGACGACACAAAATAAGATGACTTCGTTAACATGACGTCATTTCATAGAAGTGGTGTAATTTTAAAGCTGAACACGCATTACTCAGCATCCTACGTGGCGTGGCTGATGACGTCATCGCCATTTTTGTATTTTTTTATTTCATGACGATGGATACAAGTCCTTCTGGAAATATTAAGAGACAAACATAGAATTTAGTATTCTTTATAATACAGTGTTGCCAGATGGTTACATTTCTTACATTTTTTGTAACTTTTGAGCCACTCGCAACTTTTATTTTTAAGACAATTTTCGTTACTTTAAAGTTGATATTTGTTATTGCAAATTAGACACCCAAATTAGACAGTAAAGTAACTCAGAGATGGTGAAAACAAAATGAAATCAATCAGTTACGGGTTAAAACCGGATTTACCAAACCAGAAACTTGAAACTTACTATTCAAGTTAATATAGTGAAACAAAATTTTCGACTCATGGGCCCTGGGCAACATTGTTCATAATTTAACAAACTGCTAGATTGTTTAGTGATACGTTTTTGTCGTTAATGCGTTTTAATTAAATTATTTATTGCTCAAATTTAATCGCATAATACACTCAACAATATGACAATACTTATGCGTCAAAATGCTGTTGACGTCATCAAGATTAAAAAATATCTTTATTTCATATGCAATAAAATTACACTAAAACACTTAAATTCATATCGACAAGTAAGAAACTCTAGCGGTTGCTATTTGTAAATAGATACACTAACCAGCACGTTTAGCGGAACAAAAAAATTGATAAAACAAAAATGGTAACGTTTAGATTCACGCAGCTTTACTCAACTTTTATTGAAATAAAACGGAAATTGAAGAAAATCCATTCTTTTTTTGGATTTTGTGACAAAGCAAAAACAGTTGAAAATTTAAAAAACTGTTTACCATATTCACTAGAACGCAAAATCAACGAACCACTTGACCGTCCGTGTATTAATAGGAAAATAAAACAAATTAATGAAAAAAATGACAAGACTAAATTTTTGTACTCGAATTGGACCTAAAATAGAAAAAGTAAAATATCTATAATAAATAAAATAAACCGACAAGTCTTTTGAAAAAACCATTGCACTATTTTGGGTTTTCACCAGTGTTCTGGAAAATGTGCCGGTTAGTATAGTTGTTCACATTAATAAGTTAAGTATTTGCTATATTTATTTCACTGAATATCATAATCTGTTACTACCATGATAATCATATATTTTTTTGTAAAAATACTCCACTAACGTGTTATTATTTCGAAAAAACACAAAGAATGGTGAGGAAAAAGGCACTGGAGGTCTACCTCGACATACGAAGCAATGATCATCGTCCTAGTTTCAAATCGGATCGGAGCTACCACGAAACGCGTACTAAGATCGTGATTTGACATAAGTCCTTACTCCGAAACGTCAAATGACAGCTTTCGTAGCGAATTTTGACATTACCTTCATCGTAAAACTGACATAATGTAGTATGTACGAGCTTCGTTGCGGACGCAGTCACGTAGTTTTCGTGGTAGACTTCCTGGTTCAAATCCAGTTGGATCGAAGGAATTTTTCTTTGTATTTGTTCGATTTTTGTATCAATAACAACAGGTAATATTTAATTTAAAATATTTTATAGATGCCACCTGAAAAAGTCCAATTACCGTGGATTTTTATTAAACTATATACACTTTCTATTTTTTAACAGTCTGTTCTATCAGTCTATGGTATTGATTGTTTTTCATCTTGGAAATAACGAATCAAAAACACTTTTAATGAAGATACAAAGTCTCTGCAGCTTGGAGACAGACTTAAGATACAATAGGGAGTCAAGAAAAGCACGTAGCCATAACGGTATCATTCTGTCATGAATCAGCCAGTATATTATAGATACTATTATACCTACGGGGCCAGTAGCTTTGTAGATAATCACAAAATTGACAAGCTGAACCAAATTACTCGTTCATGGTTCAATAATCATCATAATCATAATCGTCGTCATCCTGTCCATTTTGCAGCATGGCAGCTAGTGAGAGCTCGTGTCCCGCGTCTGTGGGCTCTGCCTCCACTTCGTCCTCGTAGTCGTCGCCAGGGTCTGCGCACACAAACGGGTTGTTGTATTAGTTAAAATGTACTAAATTCGATGCCTTACTTCGTCAAACTCGTATCTTACAAAGAGTGATTATTTAGGAGATGGCAAAACTTTCTATTGATTTTAAATTTCTTATCAAGGGTATTAATTTCGATGCATTACTTTAAGAATAGGTAAAAGACAGTGTGCGAATACGAAGGAAATGTAATGTGAGATCAGCCTGCAAAATTTGTATACACAATCTATTTCTTGCATTTCAGTAACTTTGTGCTTTAAGCATAGATAACCTCTTAATAGATGCCGCATACAGGGCAATTGACGCGCACCACACATCCGTGCAATTGATCATATACAAAATTTTGCAAAAATTCATCACTTAGTTTCGACCAAGTATCAGACACGTGCGTATCTCCTGATATTCCTGTATTGTTACGCTAGTTTTAGTGAAACGAACTATAAAAATGACTATCTGTGCCGAGAAATGGTGTGGAAAAACATCCAGGACCTCAAACTTTCAAAAAGACGGAATTACGTTTCACCGGTAAGTTAACTACGTTATTTCGCACAGGTTCGGACAGGTCTCTTTTTTTATTATAATCTTACAATTAAGCGCCTCTTTTTGTCGAAGACACGTGTAACACTAGGGTTGGGAAGATTTGAAATCGTCATCTTAATCACTATAACAAATATTATTAGTATATTATTACTTTTTTAACTACGTTTATAGATAGCACTTATTGTTTATTATTCTTGGATTACGTTTCGTGTTAAATTGGTTACATAACTTAGTTTTAGTAATATGTTATTTTATGTCTTCTTTGATTTTATTATAATAGTTATTCTTGTAACGTAATACAATGAATAACAAATTCATGTTTTACCTTATCACCTTACATTGTATGCTTATAAACCTTCAATTATGACGTTATACATCCTTACCTCCATAATTAATTTCATTAGTTATGCTTTTGTAAATACGACAACTTATAATACTTAAGTACCTTGTTTTCTTAAATATCATTTTGCTATCGTAAGTCATTCAATAATTTACATACATACTACCGTCACGCCTGTCTCCCATAGCGGTAGGCAGAGCTTCCAGTAAGAAAGCCCACTTTAGCCACGATTAGCAAAAGTTTTTATTAAAATTTTAGTATAACTTAGTGCACTAAATAGTGACAGGTTGCCAGCATGTCGCCTACATATATGACACATTTAAAACCCAGGCCCTCAGTCGACTTTTACGATTTGCGCGGAATCATAAACATCAGCTGTTGTCAACATTTTATGCCTTTCGTTTGCTTCCAGATCAGCATGGAAGAATTTAATAATTTGTGTTACAATATTATCGTTTTTATCATTGACTTACAAATAAATGGACGACGGGTCTAATACAAAAACCACGAAAAAAATGTCCCAAGTCAACCTATTCGAAATTTAAATTGTAATGTCATCGTAGTATCGCGCTGTCAGTCGAACAAATGAAGACTAAAGCGGAGTTTGGCGCTCTGTATACGATTTTAGCGCCTTACAAGTGCGGACACTTTTTAGCGCGGACCCGACGTCCATATAATTGTAAGTCAATGGTTTTTATTGACTAATTGGATGCAGACTGGTACAAGTTGCCCATCACTATCTGTAAGTGCAATTTGAGTGCATTTCTAGTTCAACCTTGAACTAGCGAATCAGAACAAGTACAAAATTATCAACAGGTAGCATCTATTAGGAGGTTATCTATGGCTCTAAGGTACGAGTTCGAGAAAGTAAGGCGACGTAATTTAGAATTCTGTTAAGGATCTGCGCACACAAACGGGTATTGTATCAATTATAATGTACTAATGTAGAATTCTCTTAATTGTTATATTTATGAAATCACAATTATTATGAAATTACAGTCTGAGATTTAAAGTTCTGAGTGACACTGTAACCGCTATGGACAGGCGTGTCGCTCACCACCAGGCGCACGACTTGCTCGTCCTGTCACTTGGTATCATAAAAAAATGCAATCATCGCTTAAGAGTCTATTCTACCTTAGCTCGTATTCCAATTTTTCCCTTACTAATGGGTCATTTTGCTTGGTTCATTAAATTTTTTACAAACTAAATTAAAGCCATTCGAAAAATATACATATATCGTATAGTATACTTGTTCTATTTAGTTTAGTTGATGTAAAAAAAAATCATTGGTATATGTAAAGTATCTATTGAATATAGCGGTTTTCTTGTAAAATTTCGAGGTAAATTTGTGTTTTTTTTTTCACCACATCAGTAGGTATATATACTCAATTTTACTATATATTTTTTCCTAAGCGATTGATTCAACGCTTTCACCGCTATGCGGAATTAACCGAAGCCATTTGAGATAGTATAGACTCATAATTCAAGGTCATAGTTTTCAAAACATTTTTAATTCGCTCAAATAACAACTGAAATAGTCAAATTGATTAAATTGTCACTAGTACTAATTTGGAAGGCAAATCCCAGGAGAACAATGAAGAAGAAACCTTACAGAGATATCTGTTCACATACACAATTTTAAAAATATCCTAGATAGGTAGCTGATCGGTACCTAAATCAAAATTATCTAAAATTGTAATAACCTTTTGTATTAAATTTTTATATTACGATAGCTTTGAAGTTTGTAAATTGCCAATTTTTAATATCAACTGACCTCTTATTGTAGAAGCGTGTACGCAACTTGATTTGTTACTTTGTGGAGATGACTCTTGAGTAACTTTTTTAATCTCTATTACTAATTCGGAAAGTAAGACTCCTTCAAAATTTATAATAATAACGCACACACTCAACATAGCCCCGCACTAGGGAAACCCTGTGTCGCGGGTGCCATGGACACACACATAGACAACCTTCGACATACAAACATAGGAAATGAAACTTATTTTTCGGATCTAAATCTCGTACATTTGTTTTTTTTTAATGAAACCAACGTTTCGGGCCCTGAGATGGTAGTCATCAACTAGTTATGTTTACTATTAATAATTCATTTCATATAGTACGGGTACGGATATAATTGGTAATGAAGAGAAATCGATTTAGAGACTATAATTTCAGAACAAATAACAAACAAAATAAAAAGGAATCGATCTCGTCTATATGTAGTATCATAGACGAGAGACGAGATTCGGGACTTGGGGGTTTTAGTAAACAGAAATTTGAAGTTTGACTCACATATTATAAAAACGGTAAACAAGGGTTTTGGGATGATGGGTTTCGTACTGCGCATTGCTAAGGATTTCAAGAAGTCTTCATCAAAAATAAAACTCTTTCAAGCATTGGTACGACTTGCACTAGAATTCGAAAGTGTTATTTGAACTCCACATTACGAAGTGTACATCAAAGGCTTTCTATATCACTTGGCATATGGTGATTTGAGGAGACTTGATTTAATATTCCTACATACACTTGTTAACGGTTCATTAAATTGCCCTGAGTTATTGAATAGGTTGCTATTCAATACTCCTTGTAGGTTGCCTAGGGAAAACGCTTACAACTTTTTTGGCATACCAGACTCAAAAACGAACCTCGGTCATTTCACTCTTTTGCCAAGGCTCTGCAGGACGTATAACTCAACAGTTACAAAAGAAGGCTGGGTGATGTCATAAATACATAAATTACATATCAATAAATTTTATAGTACTTAGTAAATTCTCTGAAATTTATATTTTAATATTTTAATTGTTAAATCAGTTTGTGTATATCGATTTTATAAGTAGATAAATTAATTATATATTCGTATAATTTAAAAGAACAATAATTTTGTTAATATTTCATAATATATTGTTGTCATTGCATGCTGTGATGTTCCTCAAGTGTAGAAGCACTTAGTTTTAAGCTATTATGTTCGATATTTATGTGTAGTGTTTTTCTATGTGGAATGTCCTGAATTAATAGATAACAGTTAACTTAAACAACGAATTAAATAATCAACAAGCACCCAACAAAAAGTCAACAAAAAATCATAAAATCAACGGCAACAAAACGAAATTTGAACAATTACTCCTAAAACATCAGGCAAAGCTCAAAACAAAAGAAAAGGACCCGCATGTAAGGTGTATGCACGTGTAAAGACGCGAGATTAACAATAGCCGATTCTATGGTGTAAATTTCTATGGATAAATATTCCGTTTTACGCATCAAGTAATTGAGGTAATTTATTTTTATCTTTATCATTTATGTACTGTAATTTTTACTTAAAATTACAATAAAAACAAATATCGTTTGTTTTTCCTATATTATAACAAATTCACTATTTCATTTTGTAACCTGATTATGAGAATAATTAAAAATAGTATGCACGCAACGTAAAATTTCAAAAATCACAGTATCCATCTTATGTGGAATGGACTATAACGCTTTTTTGTTTGAAAAAATAAAGACTTAATTTCCTATGTGTAACAATCGCGAAAACCTAAGAATTCTATATGGAGTAGTTTCATAAATTACCAGTTAGGGCTGGTGTAGCCGGCGTAACAGGTGTAGGCGTAGCAGGTGCAGGCGTAGCTGGGGCAGTTGTAGCAGGTGAGGGCGCCGGGGAAGCGGCAACGGGACTGGCTATGTTCAGGGTGGGGATTGTGGGGGCTTTCTTCTTACGCTTGCGGGCGGGAGAGGCCGAAACTGACGGCTTGGTAGGTGTTAGTGGTTTGGTGCTGAAACAAAATACTCATTTGCCATAAAATACTAATTAAACCTTATGATCAGCGATCGGATATTCGGTCGCTATTTACGTAAAGTTCCTGGTTTTTATTGCCCACGAAAAAATAATGTGGACATGCCATTCTGACTATATACTTCGTTTCAATCCATTTTCAACAAAATTTAAACAAACAAGTCACTGGCCCGACCACAGACGGTTTAGTGATGGCCGATTGTAATGCCAACTATAAATCGATTAATTAATTGAATGAATCGATTTGTTCAATTGAGTCATACTGGCGGTTTTCCCTACATCTGCATATTTAAAATTTTCGAAATTTTAATTTTAAGCCCTCCTTCAAATCCTTACACTCCGATTGCGATTGAAATATTCGATTTACTAATCGATTACAAAAACTTTAATTGAATAAACCGAATGTTTATTTTGTACAGCACTATGCAACCATAGACAAGGCATAAGATGTATAGACGAAAAATAACCTCACTTTTGGACTACCGTTTTTCAAATACAATTTTACGATGCTATTGAAATAAATATTGTTGGAAAAAGTGATGAGATATCAAGTCGAAATCTTCGAAATATACACGTTTTGAAGTGTAATTTATTTTACCCAAGGAATAAATGATTCTTTGACTTTGACTAATTCTAAACTGTTAGCCTCAGTAAAATGGCTTGAGTTCTATGTAAAAGTAATGACCGCTACCACAGTCTCCTGATCATCGCCATTCTTTCTACATCACGTCTAGGTCATGTAGTAGGATCACATTCGATGTACATATTTTTCTGTGTACCAAACAATTGTTAAAATGTTGTTTTATACTTAGTTGATTTATAGTTATTTAGTAAATAATGTTAATAATATTAACTTGGGATTGACTAAATTGATTTATGTATTACTTTATTCAGAAAAGCATGTCCTCATTATTTTTTCGTGGAGTCAAAAATTCAATTTAGGTAAATAATGCGCCTGATTATCCGGTTACTACTTATGATACCTTGCAGTCAAGTTAAATCTATACGGATACGGCGCTTTAAGCAAAAAGTATTAAAAGTTTTCTCTGCGGTAATTTTTGAGAAATTGCTACCGTCATAGTGTCCTACCCCCGCTCCTACGTTTTGCATCGGACTGATATAATTATGCTAGAGCTTTTTTATTACCGTTTAGAGCGATGTATTTCAATATGTTTAGTTTTGTACGAAAGTAAAATATGATGAATTATTAAAAAGTCGTGTAACAATACGTGTTGTTTAGTTGATATTATTAAGAAATAAGCCTGTACAGTGCAAATTCAGATAACTTACTCTAGCACAACTGGAGTTTCTTTTTGCTTGTCTGGCACAGGAGTTCCTGGTTGGTCTAAACTCTTCAATATGTCGTAATTGATCTTAGAACTGATCTTCTTCTCTGCTAGCATCTTCTCGATAGCCTCTCCTGCAGTCGCTGCGTTAATGGCTGTGCGCTTCTTGTACGTGCCCCGCAATTTCTTCTTTTTGTCTTTACCTTCTTCCCGATCTCTGGCGCGTTGCTCTTCTTTTACTGCAGATAATTATTTTTAGGGTTCAATATTAGCAATTATGCAAAGTTTGATCTGTCTACATTAGGCGCGTTGCTCTGATGGCCAGTGGGAAGGACATTGTTTGCGGACGACATGACTAGATGCCCGCAAAACACACAAACTTTTTGTTCACTCATATAAAGTTTTTCTGACCGTCTATGGTGACACCCTTTGTCTCAAATTACATTGCAGTGGAATGGAATGGAAGCAGAGACGAGTAGGCGCCCGGGTTTTAACCCGGCACTTAGTTATTAGTTAAAACCCATTAACGCCTGAAATCAAGAGCAACAACTATTTACGACGAAATATTTCGATGCCTTACTTTCTTAAATTCGTATCTTATAAAGAGTGATTATTCAGGTGATGGTAAGAGTTTCTGTTTATTAAATTTTTATTGAATTGATAGTCAATTATTTTTTGTGAAATTACTCCACTAGTTTGTTATAATTATTAATACAAAGATCGAACAGTCAGAAAAAACACTCAGAAAAAATTCCTTCGATCCGGTCGGATTCGAACCGACGTCTTCTTGCATACCGTGCCAGACGCTATACCAACTAAGCCACGGAACGAACCAACGGACCTCACGAATTTTTCTATGTGCTTGCGTGGTGTCTTTGTACTTGGTCTTTCAACGACTTTTTTTTTCTCTTTATTTCAAATTATCTTATCTTATCAAGGGTGTTAATTTCGATGCGTTACTTTCAGAATAGGTAAAAGCCAGTGTGTCAATATGAAGGAAATGTGTTGTGGAATCAGCCTGCAAAATTGACATATACAATCCATTCTTTGCATTTCAGTAACTTTGTGTTTTAATATACGAGTTTGAGAAAGTAAGGCGACGATTTGTAAATCGAGTTTTGTTCAAATGTAATGATATTATTACAAAATGTTTATTGCTTGTTTACATAGTTTGCTTTTCTACTGACTGGATTCACTTGAAAATCGCATTGAAATGAACCGATACAAAAACTCGTTATTGTATATATCTGGTAGTCTGAATCCACAGTGTGAGATATCATCGAAATGTCTAATAAATATTGAATTACACCAAATTCAATATTATTTTACGCGTAGAATGTTTCCGCTTCAAAAAACAGGGCTCTCAAAGGCAACTCCTATGGTGTTGCAGTCCATGGGCATGAACACCTTCAATCAAATAGCTTGTCTGCTCCTTTGCCTCCTATTTTATATTTAGAAGCAGTAGAGCGAGAACAAGATCTCTTCTATGATATTTTTTTTTCTAAATAAGATTAGAAAAAAAATATCGTAAAACAGAATTTAAACTTAATTGTATTACAAATTATATAGCAGCAGTAGAACCCCTTGTGAAAGACTTTGTCCGGGGAAGTACAGCCACCTTATCTATTTCTCCCGCCAAGCAGTAATGTGAGCATTGCTGCGTTTTGGTTTTGAAGGGTAAGGGTGCTGGTGAAATTACAGGCACATGGGATTTATAAACTTATATTGTCTCAAGGTGACGGGCGCAGTGCACCTCAGATCTTTGCGACTTAAAGCTCAGAGTGGCACTACAACTGCTATGGATGGTCACTTAGTATCTTAAAAAAAGAACCCCATACTAACTCTTTTGCTCCTTGAGATACCCGGCGTTAATCTGATGCCACAACCGCGTCTTATGCTTGGACTCCTCTTCGCTCATGATGAGCGAGCTGATATATTCCTCATCCTTGTTGCTTAGCAGCAGCTCGTCAGCTTGCAAGTCTTTGCTGAACTGATGTTTAGGTTCTGGTTTTATGAACTTGTCCGTTTTGTCCTCTGGCGGACCCAGGCCAATTATAGCTAAGTCTGTACCTGTAATATAGGAATTGAGATATTAGTTTTGATGGTTTTGGCAGTTGTAAGAATTTATAAACGTGAGCTGTCAATCGGAGATGGAGAACCTAATGTACATTTCACAAATTTAAATTTAATTGTTTGTGTTTACGGTCCCGTCTTCACGGTCGAGTTTCAGTGTCGAGCTTCACGGTCGAGCTTCACGGCGAGTAAATGTATGTGTATGTGTGTGATGCTGACGGGAAAGTAGCACCCCTTGCAGGTCTATATATTGGACATTGTATATTAAAATGAGGTAAATAGTAATATAATAATAATGTACACACTCATAGCCCGACAGCATTAGAGACACCCTGTGTCCCGGGACGCGGGTGTCATGGACACACAAACAGACAACCACAAATTACACGCAAACTTACTAGAGAAATAAATTAAGGCCATATAAATATTTCTCCCGGCTCGGAAAATCGAACCCGGGACCTCAACGTGGCAGACCACCATGATAACCGTTCGGCCACGGAGGCAGTTAAATAATACAGATTTAGGACTTTCGTCGCCGTGGTCACCTGATCGATTGAGCGTGTCTGTGGCGTATATCGTGGTAAGAAACCCATAATTAGTAAGAATCATTAAGTAGTAAGTAAGTAATTGTAAGTAGCTAGATATTATCATAAAATGAAAATAACAAAATTAAAATATTCGCTGCTAATCTATTTATTTAAAATAATCCGTGACGTATCCCGTAAAACAGCGCGCTAATGCTACCTGCGCCTGAAGTCATGACGTCACATACCATCAACACCATGAATGGGTAGGTGTTTAAAAAATATTCTTTTACATACATTAAAACGTTTATGCTTTTACGATTTCAATCTCAAGAAATAAGTAACGTATCTCAATAATAATATTATTTATCAATAAAAGATGCTAGCAGAACAGCTAGACCTAATTCTTCACCTACAACGCGCTTTGACTGTGAAAATTCCATTTTTATGGATGACAACGCTCGCGCCCACCGGTTTGGGGATGTGGATGCGTATATGCAAGAGATTTGAGATCCGTCGTTTGGATTGGCCAGCTCAAAGTCTCGACCTCAATCCAATAAGAGCATGTCTGAGACATTCTGAAACGACGAGTAAGGTCAGTGCAGACAGCCTCAAAACATCAGGGAACTAAAGAATGACATCGTCGCGGAGGAGAACATATACCACAAGAGGCCATAAGGAATATCTTCGAAAGCGTGCCTAGAATACAAGCTGTGATTATGACAAGAGTAAGGTCAAATTCATTGCTAAATTGTTCCTTTACACTATTAAAAAGTACAAAGATGTTTTAGTTTTTCTTTTACTTGACGATTAGTATTCTATTGGCGACTTAAACTTGAACGATATTTTCTCATTGATTTAATCGAAATTTATGGAAAAAAATTGCTGACACTTCTTTCCGTATATTCATTTATAAGATTCTGAGGATATTGGTTACTTAAAAAATCAAATTAACTGCAGTGACCGTGAAATAGTTTATTTTCTAAGGTGCCCGTTTTTTTTGCAAAAAGAGTGTATAATAAAGTAATAAAATCGGAACTTCCAATGAACGTAGTGTTTATTGGGACTTCGGAGGTACCGTCTTGTTTTTTTACCTTATTTTTTTATCATTTTTTGTAAACAGCTATATTTATTTACTAATATTATGCTCCCCGAATTTTGTAAAACAAACAAAAAAAAAACAAAAGCAAAATAAAAACAGAACAAGTTAAAAAATTGCGTTGGCGCAATGTTCTTGGGTGGTAGGTAAAATGCTTACTAACTTTTTCTTCGCTAGCTAACAATATACAGGAAACCTCAATAAATATGTATATATTTACATATCGGGAAATTTCGGAAACCTTATTTCGGAATGCTGTTCTCCGAGTTTTCCCGATGTGTAATATGTACAGTAAATTCGTATCTTAGCAAGCAGACAGCGTATGTGCAAACGTGGGAATTAGGTGAATAGTTAACGCTTTTTACGCGTTCTATAACAAATTGTTGCTATTTTATAATTGTTCAAGTTTTTACTTATATTCTAGTTACGTACGCGTTAAGGCTGTAAGGAATTTGCCCGTGGTAGTTTGAAAGCCGGCTTTGTTACCGTTTTGTTTTGATTTGTTACCATATTCTGTACGGTTCATAATAGCATATTGGCGACTAGACCAATTTGGAAAAGAACCTCTCTGAATTGTCTGTGGTCTGGGTGTTTTAGTTACCACGAAGTTAAGCTCGTTGTTCTGGTAACGATACTCTCGTTCTCCGTCCGACATCTGTCCAAAACAATTACTGTCAAATAAGTAATACTTGACCATCGAGTATACCTACCTATAACCAGAAACAGAGACGAAATAAGGGCCACACATTCCTGGTAATTCGTCAGTGATACATCACTTATAAATATCAACTCTCGTTTGCACTGAAATATAGTCAGCGCCAACAACTGACCTGTGTAAACGTCTCCGTATATTCCAAAAATATTCTGTATTTATTGTAATAAAGATAATATCTCTAACAATGGCGTGCTGTTTCATTTGGAGGTGTGGGGAAAAACAGCAATACATCTGATTACAAAACAAACGGAATCAAATTTCATCGGTAATTAAATATTAAATATGTAATTTTGCAATTTTCGTCCATTATAGCAAAGCTCAAGGTAACTGGTCTGTAACTGGAAAATTGTTTCGAATTCGGTTCTCAGTTGTCACAATAATGATATGGCAGAATAGTTTTCAAACAAATTAAATGACATTTCGTCTCTATTTCTGGTTATAATTATACTCGATGTCGTCGACTAAATTTAAAAGACAAAGACAAGTATGAAGCTTCATGCGCATCATGCGTCTTTTAATTTAATCGAGTATCAGTACTTGACACTAATTGTTTCGGTCTGGTGTGCTGTCTACCACATTATTGTTATCGTTATCTTTTTTATTATTATTATGGTCATTTATTTTACATTATCCCTTGTCCCACGATCTTAAACGATACGTTTTGATTTTTTTTATGCGAGGGGCTGTATTCCCCGGCAATGGCACAGTCAGTCGGTGTCAGGGACTCAGGGTCAAGAACAGCTGTATGTGACACGCCACAAAATAATTTAAATGTGTGATTAATTGAATTAGTTTATTGTCATATTTCAGTGAGCTTGCTTGTGTATGTTGTTCCATGACCTTCCATTTTCCCGCAAATACTAAGGTAGGGCCAGCGCAAACTGGCATACGGGGATTTTTAGTAGCAGTAGAGTTCCTAGTGAAAGAGTTCGTCCAGGGTAGTACTGCCACCTTTACCTATTTCTGCCGCCAAGCAGTAATGTCAACATTACTCTGTTCCGGTTTTGAAGGGTAAGGGTGCTGGTAAAATTGCAGGCACATGGGACTTGTCAACTTATGTCTCAGGGTGACGGGCGCAATAGTAATGCCCCTAATATTTTTACGATTTAAAGCTCTGAGTGCAGGCGCACGACTTGTTCGTCCCGTCACTAGATATTACAAACAAAAAAAACGTAGAAGATATTATTATATTCACGAGTGTATTTGTTATGCTATTTTAACTATAATGAGCTATAAATTGCAATGCTCTTGAGACAGACCTCAGAGCATCGCGGCACATTTCTGTCGGCGTTTCAGAACATTGTAATTTATATAATTGAAATAGCTTAAAATATAAATGAGAAATCCCCTGCTTTCCCGTTCGCCGAAGTTTGCGCCGGCCTTTAGTGTCCCTTTTGTTACCGCGTCTGATCCACCTTTTGTTACCGCGTCTGATCCACACAAGTGTCTTTATACTTAGTACCTAGTGTCTTTGTTTATGTGAATAATCAGTTAATTTAATATTTATTTAAATTTGTATTGAATGGATATTCAATTATTTTTTGTGAAATTATGCCACTAGTTTCTTGTTATACACATATCGAACACTTAGAAAAAAGTCCTTCAATCGGGCCGGATTTGAACCGACGTCTTCTAGCAAACCATGCCAGCCGCTATGCCAACTCAGCCACGGAACAAACCAGCGGACCTCACGAATATTTCTGTGCTTGTTGTTAGATTTTTTGTATTTTTTTTTTCAACGATTTTAGCCGTTAATTTTTATTTGTAATTTCATTCAATTGAATGAAATTACAAATAAAAATTAACGTTTTTCATAACTAGATATTTATTTGTATCTTACGTTTAAAGGTTTTGATTATATGTCTTTAATGTCTTTCTTTCTAAATCCAACCGATTCAAATTATTATTATTGTTTTAAAAAAGTAACGTTATACTTAAGAACTATTTATAGTATATCATGGTGTCATAATATACTAACAATTAAATGCCAATAAGAAAATGTTCAGCTGTGCAGGTTCCTCGGTGGGAGTCAATCTAGAAGTTCCTGTAAACTCGAGGCTATTTCTAGCTTACTTACGTCACTTACCGAGTCCTTTTTCGAACTTCATGGTTTCGTTCTTGGGCTGTACATCCTTGGCGATCTCGCCGATGATATGCAGTGTGTCTTCCGCTGCGAATCGTGACGCTTCAGCTTCTTCGGATATGCCTTCATCTGTTAAATGATACGCAAGGTTTCAATCATCCTTATGATTCAGGGTGACAGACGCAGTGGCAGCACTCCTTAGATCTTTGTGATATAAAACTCTGAATATCACTGCAACTGTTATGGACAGACGTGTTGCTTACCACCAGGCGCACGATTTGTTCGTCCTGTCATTTGGTATCATAAAAAAAATACATTGCATTTGACCATATATTTAGGGCCAGAGCAAACTGGTGGACGGCGTGGAGAGCACAGAAGAGAATCAGCGCACTGATGACGAACATCTCTTACAAAAATGCGAGCGTCCGCCAGCATACCACAGCGTCCGCTTCTTCCCGTTTGCCGCTACCCCGCATGACTGGTGGATTCCGTCGCATACAAGCGCCTCCCGCACTAGTATAATCTTCTTCAGCCCTAGTACAATCTCGCGTGTTCTTCAATACCGCGGAGACAACTGCGCTGCGATAATCCAAAGTCGGTCTCAGAGCATTGAAATTTATGCCTTATCAAAATTGTAACAGCATAAAATACACATTGATAAATGTATATCCTCTGCCTTCCCGTCTGCCGCTTTGCGTTGGGCTTTGGTAGCAAAAATTTTCAATAATGAACTTTGTAGAACCAATTGATTGGGTATTAAGTAAGGATATGTGAAAAGATAACCGAAGTACGTAAGAAAAGCTTTAATATTTGATGTCTTGCGAGCCCTATTATAATATACCGTTCTATATATGCATACTAAGCTGCACTCTACAGTGTTGCCACGTGCGTGTTGAAAATGGAGGAGAATAAAAAAGAAAATACTTTTTAATTAAATGACATCAGTTTCAAAAGTCTCGATATTCCCGAGACTGAAAACATGGGTCTCGAGTCTCGAAAAAGTCAAAAAATTGTCGAGATTCTCGAAATTTATGAGACCGAGATTCCCGGGTTGAAAGACCTAGTACTTTGGTAGTCATGCATGACAGTCACACCGATTTATTCAAAGACAGAGACAGATGAAGATTAAAAAAAAAACACAAAACTGAGTTTGTTTACCATGGAGTTTCAAAGGTGGATGAATAACTGAGTGAGTTAGTCATTTGATGACATCGAGTATATAACCAGAAATAGAGACGAAATGTCATTTAATTTGTTTGAAAACTATTTTGCCACATAATTACTGTGACAACTGCGTTACGATTGGCTAGCCCGAATTCGAAACAAATCAAATCGACCAGTTAACTTGAGCTTTGCTATAATGGACGAAAATTGCAAAATTACAAATTTCATATTTAATTACCGATGAAATGTGATTCCGTTTGTTTTGTAATTAGATGTTTTGCTGTTTTTCACTCACCACCGAATAGAACAGCACGGCATTGTTTGAGATATTATCTTTATTACAATAAATACAGAATATTTTTTGGAATATACGGAGACGTGCACACAGGTCAGTAGTTAGCCTGTCTATATTTCAGTGCAAACGGGAGTTGATATTTATAAGAGCAGTATCGCTAATGTGTTACCAGGAATATATGGCCCTTATTTCGTCTCTATTTCTGGTTATATACTCGATGTCTGATGATTTGACATTTATTTAAATCACGGAATTTTATACTGAAACATTTGTACAATGTTATCTCACTAATTCAAATCAGTCAACTAAGTACTATCTGATTACCTGTCACTAACCCACTGGAAGTGGTGGTCGCAGCAGCGGCCCGTCTTCTTCTCGAGTTGTCTCTTTCTAACTGTGCTTCTATCTCTTTCTGTAGATCTGTTAGCTCTTTTTCGCCATCCTCTTCTTCCATTAACTGATAAAATAAACTGGGGTTAGGGTTCACAGTCTGTGCAGAACCATTATATATATAAAGCTACAAGTTCTTACTCACTCATAGAAATAGAACGCATACTTCCTGATATGGTGGAAAAAAGATATTTATACCGTTGTACGCGGATAGATTCCAAAGCAAAGAATCAAATATGAGAAGACCTAAATGTGATCAACGCCCTGCAAAAACTATGATATATGGAGGGAATATTTGTGCACTTTTATGAGGTATACCCTGGTCAAACTGCTAGAGATAGGTAGGTAGGGAAACTATTAGAGATAGGTACGAGGTGTTCGAAGGATTGTCATAGAGATTAATAGTGGTCTGCTTGGGTTAAAAAAAAACAAGATGGCGAATTCAAAATGGCGGCTGAAGAGAAACTTGTTTCGATCCGGCTGAAAATTGGCATGCGGAGGCCTCTAGAAGTGCCGGCTAATAATTTGTTTGAAAATTGGTTTTTCGCCATTTGCAAATATGGCTGCCATAGAAGCGTTCGTTGGCGGAAGAAAAAAAAATGCTCTGATCCCTTTGAAAATTGGCATGTGTGGGTTTCTAGGAGTGCTTGAAAATAATTTATTAGATCAAAATTTATTTTTCGTCTTTTTTCAACATGGCTGCCATACAAACTCTTTTAGCGGCAGATAAAAATTTGCTTTGCTCGGACTGAAAATTGGCACGAAAAGATTTCTAAGATTGTTTGATAATAATTAGTGGTGAAAATATATTTACGTAATTTTTAAATATAGGCGCCATTAAAGATCTATTTAAATTTTTTTGAAACAAAGTCGTAAGTGCCGAGGCTATAGGCCGAGGTCCGAAGAGGGCGAAGTCCAAAGCGTCTGCACGTCATCGCACGGAGGTAATTTACGGAGGCGTAATGGATTACGAGTACAAGATCTCACAATTGTAAAAATGTTAGGCATACTTCCAAGGCGTTGTTGTATCTCAACCGTCTCTCTGTTAGATTCCATTTTCCAGTATTTAGTGGGAAAAAAAGTCGAACTACTGCCGAAATTCCTGTAGTATAAGTACCAAAACAACGATAACCCAGAATGCTCAGACCAAAACCAACTTGACAAGAAATGTTCGTTTCTTACATTGGCCCCAATCGGGAATCAACCTCCTCATCAAGCGCTCATAGTACTAACTGCTGTGCCACCGAAAAGCATGAGCACACCTCGGAAACTGAACCCGACCACGCGCCGCAGGCCAAGCCCGACCCCACCATAAGCGGGGTACAGGGCTCGTAGTATAATATGGCAAGTAGAGTAACTCAATATAAACGTAGCAGCGTCCGCGCGTATAAGAGTGGTTACACACGGCCATTTATAGCAGCGACTCAAACGCGCGACTGCATTGTACAACCGCACGATTGGATCGGTGCAAACGCAAACGACTGCATTGGTACAGTCGCTTATGTTGAATCACTATGTTTTGTTTAGTTTATTGTAAATTAAAAGTGAAATTAATAAATACATGAAATAAACAAATCAGTTCATTAATTTAAAACGTGTATCGCGTTTGCATCGTGTTTGCGTTGTGTTTGCATCGCTTTTTTACATCGCTTTTGCATCGCGTTTGCATCGTGTTTGCATCGCTGCTAAAAGTCGCCGCGTGGGACGTTCGATTGAAAACATTTATACGAAGTGTTTACACCATATAGTCTAATGGATTCATTAACAATAATGTTAGAAAAAGAAGCTGGCTACAACCACTCAACATGAAGAGAAGCTGGCTACATCCACTCAACATGAAGAGTGTGGACAGTTTCATACACAATATGCATAATATTAATCAGCCGTTATCTTAGTCAGCCAAAACGTTGGTTCATTTGAAAAAATAATATACCTATGCGATTTAGATACGAAAAAATAGTTTCAATCCCTAAGAACTCGACGTAAGTAAGTAAGCATACCTTCTGCAATCGTTCTTTATCCCTTTTCCTAGCAGCTCTAAATGCAGGCGGGTCCTGCTCCTCCTCTAGATCTACAGTCATGAACTCCTCGAGCGTAAGAGCACTGGAAGGGGTCTCGCCGAACTCCATGAGGCGTTTCCGCAGGGTTGACTCGTGCACTTTCACTATACGGATCACATCTGCTGGGGTTCGGGAGAAGTTGTGAAGACGTCCTGCTATCAGGAGAGCTAGAGAATCGAAAAAGAGTATAATTTACAGTCTAACAAGTTAATGTTGTAACCTGAATAGTGGTGCCAATTCTGACATTTGAATCCAAAGTTCTTGTTATCAATTAAAGAAATAAGTTCTTTTAAAACATAAACACGGCAAGGGTTCATACAGTTTAATTCCCTATACCAGGAGTATCAAAGCAATGGAATCACTACGGGGTACTACCCAGAGACTAATTCAGATAGGTTCATTCAAGTCGGTCTCACCGGGAATCGTACCTGGGACCTCTTTACACCTTAAGGATGTCGAAGAGCCCTGTTTTCAAATGAAAATTTTTATGTGTTGCCCTCGTGACCATTATATTAACTAATATATGTATAATATTACCGTATAAAAATAGCAAAATCTATTACATTGAATTGTTCTGATGCGTGAGGAATTTCCAGGAAACTTTCAATGCAATTTACGGATTTTTAAGGAAACTTTGGAAATTTATTAATTTACGCCGGTTTCTTTAAAAAACTCTGATTTTACAACTATGCTATAGAACTACAAATGTTCCTTAAATATCAAATAGCAAAAATAAGCAAGTAAATAAATAAATTTGCTATTTTGACAATATTATCGAAACATTTCAGGAAACTTTCCGGCAGGAAAGTTTGCCCATTACTAGCTTCGAACCACCTCAATACAAACACTACATCCTCTATCAAACCACATCGTTCGCGGATCACAGTATTTTTCACTCTGTCACTTAATCTAACCTACCCTGCACATTATTAAACAACTTACCAGCACCACATATACCCGAAGGTCGTCTTCCGGAGTGTATGGAATCCCTCTTCATTCTCTGCACCAATCGAAGAGCCGTCATGCTAACCTCGTGCTGTTTATCTTCAAATTGTAACTGCGATGCGAACCGCAAAATGTACAGACATGGATCTGAAAAATAAGTTCCAGAAGTTTCATACCAGGATTAATACTCGCATTTAGCATTCGCACGTTTTTATCGTGCCTGACTAAAGTGTATAATCTTATACAGCTTTCAAAAGCAAACATTCTCCTTTTATCGTTGTACTTACGTCGCCCCTTTTTAACGCATTCACTATATGGTTTTTCGTACTTTCGTTACGTGCAGGAGTTCGCTCAGCGTCTCAAACGCACATGTGAGCGACTATAGCCCGGTATCTCAAACACAAATATGGGTTCATAGTATTTTTTTTAAGCTCACACTATGGAAACCCTGTATCGGGGTGCCATGACTTCACACCTACACACATAAACAAAACAAATATTTATCCCTGACCGGAACTTCTGTGTGGCAGTCCAGCATGGTAACCGTTCATTCATGGAGGCAGTTAATTTGACATTGGTTTGTTCTCTACTGAAACAATTACCCTAAAATATGTTTTTTTTTTGTATGTATGTTACACGATAACTTGTGGACCGATTTTGATGATTCGTTATTTATTGGAAAGAGGGTACCTTGGATATGGTCTCATTTAAATTTCAAGAAAATATTCCACCTCTAAGGGTGGCAAACTACCCCTAGTTTGAATGACTTTTGAGGTCGGTTTTTTTTAGTACTGTACTGTTTTTACTTGCTCGTAATCGGGATATAAATATAAACCTGTTAACGACTATTTTATATTTTTATACTTAAAGAAATTAAATAAAATCTGTTACTACATAAAATCCACAAACTCACGAACAGACTAAATTTATAAACCATTGCAACTGCCACGGACAGACGTGTCGCTTATTATCATATAAAAAAAAAATATTATGATTTTTTGATGAATTTGAATACTATCAGAGTGGTATCCCTAAAAAGCTTGTCTTCGCGATTGTGTAGCAAAGACTAGAAATATTTTCTATTCAAATTTCAATTTATTTTATTTAGACGATTAAAATCTTCAGTTGATTAGTTTTCCGTCAATATTTTTTTTGTTCTATCCTCAGTTCAGTCGCTGATGCAGCGGCGGCTTCTCTTTACGTCGTCTGCTACGTCAACTATAAGGTAGGGCGGTGGTACGAGATCTACTAGCAAATAGTTATGGAGAAAACGCCAGAAATCACACAATTATTATCTTTAGATATAAATTATGCATGACACGTATACGGTACTTACTCTCAGATTCCTATTTTGAAGTGAAAGGAAGACCTTCGTTTGTATTTGCTTTTGAGTTCCTGGTTATTGGCGAAGCTTATTCGAACTCAGTCTCTAGGAAACGTTGTTTATATCCGAACCTATATGACGTTACAAAAGTTATAATAACAATTTTGAAAACGTTATTTAAGTGAGATTAACGATTAAGGAAAACGAGCGATCACAAAAATAAAATTCTAAATTCAAATAAATATTTATTTATAAGATCGTTTCAAAGGTGGTTGGTTGTGTTTGTGTTTTCGCGGGTTAAAAAAATTCCAGTTTTGGTTATCGATCAATAATCAATATAATAATAATAAATAAATGTTTGTGTTTAGTTAGAAATGCTAAGATAAAAGAAAAAAGAACTCTTTTAATTAGTTGAACAGTGAAGGAGAGGTAAAGAACGCACATCGTCACATTTTGCGGAATAAAAAAATAACATTTATATTTGAATAAATAAGAATTAGATATAAAGTAGCAATAAAATTTATATCTTTTAACTAATTACATAGAACAGTCTTACTCAACTTTATTTAAAAAAACGAAATTAAACAAAATCCACTTTTTAATTTTATTTGAAACAGCTGAAAATTTATGAATTGAAACTGTTTAACATTGATTACATCAAGCTTTAATAAAAGAAAAAAAAAATTCAAATAAGCGCGTTTGCGGCCTGCATTCGATTCGCATTCGTTCCGAGGGGTCTACTGTCGATCTCCGTCTGACATCCGTCCGAAACAATGACTGCCAAATAAGCAATACTTGACCAAATGAAAAGACGCGTGATGCGAATGAAGCTTCATACTGGATACTTGTCTTTTAATTTTTAACCGACTTCAAAAAAGGAGGAGGTTCTCAATTCGACTGTATGTTCTTTTTTCTTTTTTTTTATGTATGTTACGCGATAACTCCGGTATTTGTGAACCGATTTTCATGATTCTTTTTTTGTTGGAAAGGGGGTTTTTTCATAGTGCTCCCATTTCATTTTGAAGAAAATCATCCACCTCAAAGGGTGGCTGTTCACGCATGAAGATTCATTTTTATAAATAGCGCCTAACTTTAATTTAGGAGCAATTACTTTTAGCAATTATTTAGTTGATTTTGCTATTTCTCCAATTCAAGGCGTTTTTCTCTCGATATACTTTGAGTAGTGTCGTAGTGAGAACCTATTTTTATTATCTCCAGTATCAAGTCCTGTATAGTGGATATTTCAGTGAAACTTAGCAAACAGACGTAATTCCACGTACTTTTGAGGTCGGTTTTTTTAGTACTCTGTACTGAGATTATGTCGAATATTATTTATTTGACAGTAATTATTTCGGACGGATGTCGGACGGAGATCGAGAGTGGACTCCCGAATCCGGGACTACACAAATCTACAAAAGTCGGACCACTTCGGATGTCGTTTGTGCACTAAGCCCAATTCGAATCCGAGACAATACGAATAACGCTTGTACACCTACAAATAAAATGATCCCTATGACATTTCGGACCGTCATTTCTCGGATTCGGAACTAATACGAATCGGATGTAATGCGCAAACGCTATAAAGTTTACGGAATTTACAAGAACGCGAGATCAACTTCAAACCACTCGACAAACCTGTATTAGAAGGAAAATAAGACAAATGAATGACAAAAACGACAGTCGGCTCTTTTTTTATTTTCCAAATAGACCCAAAGTAAAAATGTGATATAACCGGCTCCATTATTAGTTCTTCTTGAAAACAAGTGCAAGTTGACATCAGGGCTCTTACTATGCTAGCTTATTAGGAACCAGTCTGATTCAATGCAGTTCAGTTGCCGCGGTGAAAATGAAATGCTTAAATTCGTTTTTTTTTTCATGAAACCATGTGACGGGGTTAACTAGTCGTGTGCATGGTGGTGAGCGACACACCTGTCAGTAACAGTCAGCTTTAAGTCAACAGCTTTAAATCGCAAAGATCTGAACTACCTTAGCTTAGCTCTCGAACGAAGCTAACTTAGCTTAACTCGCGTAGCCGGGGCGTCTTATCATATCGCATTGTTAACAGGTACAATAGTGTATAACTCAAAAGTGTATTTTTTTCAGAATCGACGAAAAACGAATTAATCGTTTCCCGTGAAAGATAATTTAAATGTATGTATAGGCTATAGTTTATTACAAACAATTTCCTACTTGCCAAATGCATTTAAAAATAATAGAGAAAACATAATTTAATATTTTTGAATAAGGACTATTGAACTAGCTCACATGAAGCGTCTCTCATTTTGAGTTAAGTAGATATCTTTTAGATTGTTAGTTTGTTTAGAGAATCAAATTTTACGTTCAATAAGGGTATAATCTTGAATTTCACATATTTTGAGTTATAACACTATTGTAATAGCAGTGCGATATCTAAGTTCACACCGCGATAATCCAGCTAATTAAACTAACCCCTATGCTACCGCTAGCTACGTAAAATATGACGCCCTTCTGCCGCCCTTCATCCCCGCACGTGTCCATAGTGTGTAAGCACGTCACTACATACTATACTTCGTTTCAATCCATTTTGAACAAAAAGTAAACAAACAAGTCACTGACCTGACCATAGACGGTTTAGTGATGGCCAATTGTAACACCGACTACAAATCGATTAATTAATCTAATGAATTCAATTGAGTGATACTAGCGGTTTTTTGTTACATAACCTATATAAGCATATTTAAAATTTCAATTTTATTCCTTACAAATCCTTACACTTAGGGTCGTATTCCAGAACTCTACTCAATGCTCAAGTCAGCATATGAGTATGGTTTAAAGCACTCGAAATGATACTCAAGTCCCTGCCATTAGGGTCGTATTTCCAGTGCTTGAAATCATACTCAAGTCTGCTCAAATCCTGACTTGAGCATAGAGTAGAATTCTGGAATACGACCCTTAGATACTCGTTCGATTGCGATTGAAACGTTCGATGTAATAATCGATTACTAAACTTTAATTGATTGAACCGAATGTTTTTTTTCGAACAGCACTATGCAACCATAGGCAAGTCATAGAAGTATAGAGGAATAATAACCTCGCTTTTGGACTACCATTTTTCAAATACGATTTTACGATGCTATTCAAATGAATATTGTTGGAAAAAGTGATGATATATCAAGTCGAAATCTTCGAAATATACGTGAAAAGAATAGAATAGAATAGAATAGAATCGTTTATTTCATGTTATCAATGTCACAATATTACAATTGGAAATACAATGTTAAGGGATAACTATGATCGTCAGTAATAAAATTATAATAATAATAATGAATATAAAATAAAGTAGTATAACTACTGCTTGTCGAATAAAATAAAATTAAAATTGTTTCAAAAGAAACTCATCGACACTGTACAATTCAATATCCAATAAAAGGTTTTTTAGTCGGGTACAAAACGTTGCATCGTTTCTAACACTTTTCAGGTCTGTGGGTAGATGTTCGTAGAATCGGGGACCTATTACCCGCGGATTTCTAGTTGCAAGTTCGGAAAATGTTACTTATTCGATTTATTGAGTGATTGCTTTATAATTTTAACCAAACAGGTTTGTTTACTTTTTGTTCAAAATGGATTGGAACAGACTATACGTATTTTCTTAGCTTAGCTTTCCCTGCAACTACGTGTGCTAAACTAAGTTAGCTAGATTCGTTCGCGGTGTGGCCTACGCTTTAGACATAAGTCGACAAGTTCCATGTGCCTCTAATTTCACCACAAAGTTTATCATGTACTTCACAAAATTGAGCGACGAAGGCAAGATTTTTACTAGATTATGCGAATATGTGCGTCTGTA